AAAACGCTATGTCTGGCGCAAACCCAACACCTCTCATCACCCTGAGAACACCATCCCATAGTGGTGGCAGCATCATGCTGTGGGGATGTTTTTCATCGGCAGGGACTGGGAAACTGGTCAGAATTGAAGGAATGATGGATGGCGCTAAATACAGGGAAATTCTTGAGGGAAACCTGTTTCAATCTTCCAGAGATTTGAGACTGGGACGGAGGTTCACCTTCCGGCAGGACAATGACCCTAAGCATACTGCTAAAGCAACACTTGAGTGGTTTAAGGGGAAACATTTAAATGTATTGGAATGGCCTAGTCAAAGCCCAGACCTCAATCCAATTGAGAATCTATGGTATGACTTAAAGATTGCTGTACACCAGCGGAACCCATCCAACTTGAACGAGCTGGAGCAGTTTTGCCTTGAAGAATGTGCAAAAATCCCAGTGGCTAGATGTGCCAAGCTTATAGAGACATACACCAAGAGACTTGCAGCTGTAATTGCTGCAAAAGGTGGCTCAACAAAGTATTGACTTTGTGGGGGTGAATAGTTATGCACGCTCAAGTTTTCAGTTTTTCAGTCTTATTTCTTGTTTGTTTCACCCCCAAAAAATATTTTGCATCTTCAAAGTGGTAGGCATGTTGTGTAAATCAAATTATACAAACAAACCCCACAAAAATCTATTTTTTTTTTTTTTTAATTCCAGGTTGTAAGGCAACAAAATAGGAAAAATGCCAAGGGGGGTGAATACTTTCGCAAGCCACTGTATGCACTTAAATAGCAAATGGAGGACGCTTTTCCCGTGGTTCATTTTCATGCCAGCCAGGTAGGCTATACTCCTGTTGTAAAGATAAGCAATGTGCTTAATATTAGGAAAGTTGAGAAATAAATATAGTAGGCCTAGCCTATAGAAAGCTGATGGGATCCTCCTCTTTTTAATAGAGGCCATCACTCTGTTTTCTCACGCAATTGCATAGCCTATAGAAATGTTGCGCAACATGAGCTCATGGGCTCTCATTCAGTGTTTAATTTGATTTCCGATTAAATTTGCAATGATGTCAGAGTGATTAGAGGGACAATTGAGTGCTGAGTACCAGGCAGTTAGCAAGTTTGGTAGGCTACTAATGACCATCAGCAGCATCAGAGAGGCCTAATTACCATGACGAAACGGACACGTGGAATTTGACTGCCTTCATGACTCGTGACCGCCGGTGTGGCGGTAATACGGTCACCGCAACAGCCCCAGTCATAATTACTGTGTAAGTCTATGGAAGGGGTGGAGAACCATGAGCCTCCTAGGTTTTGTATTGAAGACAATGTACTCAGAGGATGACGGAAACTAGTTGTCCTCTGGCTACTCCATGGTGCTACCCTACAGAGTGCTGTTGAGGCTACTGTAGACCTTCATTGCAAAACAGTGTGTTTTAATCAATCATTTGGTGACGTGAATATATTTAGTATAGTTTTATCTAAAAAGGATAACTAAGTTTTGTTTTTTATTAAATTCACTGAGGAGGATGGTCCTCCCCTTCCTCTTCTGAGGAGCCTCCACTGCTCTGTAGGGCCTTCCGGTCGCGGGCGGTGCAGTTGCCATACCAGACGGTGATACAACAAGTCAAGATGCTATCAATGATGCAGCTGTAAAATTTCCTGAGGTTCTGAGGGGCCATGCCAAAACGTTTCAGCCTCCTGAGGGAGAAGAGGCATTGTAGTGCCTTTCTTTTGGCCCCGTCGATGTGGATGGGGGTGTGCACCCCTTGGTTTCCTGTAGTCCACAATCAGCTCCTTGGTCTTGCTGACATTGAGGGAGAGGTTGTTGTCCTGGCACCACACCGCCAGTTCTCTGACCTCCCCCTGTAGGCTGTCTCATCGCCGGCCGTCTCATCGTGTCGTCAGCAAACTTGATGAGTTGGAGTCATGTGTGGCCAAACAGTCGTGGGTAAACAGGGAGTACAGGAGGGGGCTGAGCGCACACCCCTGGGAGCCCCCGTGTTGAGGGTCAGTGTGGCAGAGGTGTTGTTGCCTACACTCACCACCTGGGGTCGGGCCTTTTGGAAGTCCAGGATCCAATTGCAGAGGGAGGTGTTCTGTCCCACAGTCCCGAGCTTGGTGAAGAGCATGGAGGGCACTATGGTGGTGAACACTGAGTTGTAGTCGATGAACAGCATTCTCACATAGGTATTCCTCTTGTCCAGGTGGGAGAGGGCAGTGTGGAGTGCAATTGAGATTGCATTGTCTGTAGATCTGTTGGGGCGGTATGCAAATTGGAGTGGGTCTAGGGTGTCTGGGATGATGGAGGTGATGTGTGCCATGATTACAGATGTTAGTGCTACAGGGTGGTAGTAGCAATCCAGGTAATCAGGTTTTTAATACTGAAAGCAGCCCAATTCGATACACATACCGTACTTGATGTTCTGTTTCTTACTACCAACACATGCATATATATTAGAGGGCATGTGCAATGATGTGTATAAAGTAGTGCTCCTCTACTGAAGATGTGCTGTTTACTCCATCTCTCTCTATATATGTGACAGCAGGGTAGATAGATCCATATTCATGAGGGAGTACTCATCACCACCACCTGACAGCATGGAGGAGAAGTGAGGAGGTGTTTACTTGGCAGGCATGGGTTGGTCTGGTATTTGTATATTCCCATCAAGAAGGCTACAAGTACAGTGCTGAGGCAATTTCATTCTAATCTACGATTCCCTCTTCTGAAATAGCTCTACTGAAGTGCAGTTTATTCTAAAGGCAATTTTAAGTTCCTTAGGGAAATATAAAAATATTTTAAATTTCTACAATAAGTCCTTATTGTATAACACACATAAACGTTGTGATTATATGATGGATAAAATGTAGATATTGTACTGCTTTGTTAGGATACTTGCTACAGTACAGATTAAGAAAACAGTGAGAGGCAATAGGAGACTGTAGTTCTCTAATGTTAATACTCTGCCTCTGAGGAGGAGCAGGAGAGAAAAAAACGGACTTAATAAGACCTGAGATCGGAGACAGAACAAAATATAAAAGTATTCCTGTAGGTGACTGTCTCCGCGGGGGTTCGCTGAGTATAGGAAGAAATACCAAAGAAAGTGGAACAAAACACTAGTATTTTAAGCATGGCCACACACGCACAACAAACCACCAGACAATCTGAACAGTCTTTGTAGTAGAGGAAGTTGGCATTCCTGTAAGGATGTGCTAAGTATGGGGTTGTATGGTGTGAGTGTTGACTGTGATACCTCAATGTTGTTGATATTATGGACTAATCAGACGTTTGGTATGCAGCCATCTTTCATCCACCACTCAGTAAAAACTAAGCCCTGATAGTAATTATTACAAAGGAAGTGTTCCCTCCCCACCAGATCCTTATGGATGTGCCCTGACATTGGGTACCCAACCCTTCAGATTTGCTGACTCTGACTCTCACACACCTGGCCAGTTCAGTAGTGATATGATGTTTTTATGGTATAATGATGTCATGCCATAGTGTTGTGAGGACAGAGGAAGAGTTAAGAGATGAGTGGTTTGGGGCCATGAAGTCTACATTCCATTATGTCAAAGTAGATTAGTGATGTTTAGGATAGCATGAGTGATGTTTAGGATACTGACTTGGGGTAAAGAGTGATGAACATCAAGGACAGGGAGTGCCCATGGAGACTTGCCAGATGTATGCCAGGAAGATGGTAATAAAGGGTATATAAGGTAGAGTGTCTTTGTTCAAGTTAGTTCAACTGACGAAGGGCAAAGCCATGTCCGTTGGTTAGATGAACCCACGAGCTCGTGATTCAATAAATACTTGGTATGAAATCTCCACAGAATGTTGTTAGAAATTGCGTAATTCAAATCTGGTATTGGAATAAGAATCAAGAGATCTTCAATCCAAGCTTAATTTATTATATGCAAAATGTATGTATGATAAGTATGAAGGTTCGTATACGGGCTCACTGAAAAACCACGCAGGGCAGACAGAGAACTAAACCATTGTTTACAGGTACTTTCTCAAATACTCTGACAGAGAGTTCCCACCTCTTCTGTTGGCCAATCAGAGTAAAGGACTGAGTGTGGTTTAGACTTTACTCAGCCAATCCGTTGGCGCACGGGTTAGTCCCAACCCCTTGGCGCTCCACCCCTTGGCGCTCCACCGTTCCCAGGCATAAGTTGCTATCATAATAACCTGTAGAGTCAGCACTTTTTTTGCAGTACCCATGTCCTTGGAAGGTTCACAGATCACAAAGAAGCAGTGTTCGTATCTGTGAGAAATACAAGTCTTATCTATCCTTCCCCTAACGTTCCTTACATGAATCACAGCCTGTTATGTGAAACAATTTATATCAGTATAGTACAAACCTATGCTCCTCATTAATGCATTCCTTCGAAGTTATTCATCACATACAGATCCAATTATGAGAAAAATAGAACCCAACAATGTCTAAGTATATCCTTGCATCCTTGATTCTTTGATACCCGAGAAACTCATCATAACAAGTAGTGCAGGAGTGCTGTGGCGGACCTCGGCTGCTGTCTGCCTTGCACGCCACAAGCACACAGCTAGCCATCTGGACAGTGGAAATCCGGATCACCACCCCACCCTGTCCTGCTTAACTCCTCACTGCCTCCCCCTCCATCTGTCTATCCGGCCATCCCTCACTCCATTGCTCCCTCCCTCCCCACCATCCATCCCATCCTCCTGCCACTGGTGACCTTCAAGGTTCATCTGAAGAGGTCAGCACAATCATCAGTCATTCACTCTCAAGTACATTGCATAACCCATGCTGTGTATGGCACACACAGGGGGCGGTTGTTTACGCCATGATGAGTTTATAGTGGCAATTAAATGCCATTGGTGCCAAGATATCAAAGGGCTTGACTGTGGTTGATTCTGGGTTCATTTTGTTCATCATTTGTATGTTTAAGCAGATTAACTACACATTGAACTGTATGGAATTGCTATGTAGCCTACCAGTTAAGATAACTAACCCTATGCTGTGTCTGTTTCTCTCTTTGTTAGCATTCCATAGACGCTGTCAGTGCAGGAGTCAGTCCGATCGGAGACACGTCTTACAACTCCAGTCACTGGGATCTGGGCAGTGCCTTCTTCTTCGCTGGGACTGTGATCACAACGATAGGTAATCTCCATCACCAACCTATTAATTAATTACTTGCTCCTCTTAATTGAGTAGAATAAAGCAATATCACTGGTCTACTTTGACGTGAAAGCTATGAGGTAACCTACGGGTGCTGTGACTCGCTACATCAAGTGCAGTTCTGTCAGCATTACACAACTGTAATGTAATGTGTGCTATTTATCATGAGCTTGCTGGGAAATGGAGAAAACAAAGATTGGAAACATAATGCATCATTCACAGGATGTACTTTATGCTAATGTCTGTGTGTGTGCGTGTTCAAGTCTCCCAGCGTGTCTTCACAGTACATCATTTACTGATGATAATAGCATTCTATCAGGAGATGGGAAGGAACAGTGGCACTAGGGTGTCTTTTTAGTAGAACAAATGAATACCATTTAATCTGTTCACACAATTACACTGCTTTGCTCACTGTGGAGAGGTACACACATCCCACCGTGCTGGTTTAGTCATCCCGTCTAGTTTTGTTTCTCCATTCACTGCAAGTTGTAATTCATGTCATGTTCTCTGAGCCCAACCTGATTATTTCCTCTCTTAGTGCTTATTTACCTCCGACCTCCAACTGCAGGAATATAACTCAGGCCTTACATAACAAAACACCACTGTGACAGGTTACGGGAACATAGCGCCCAGCACGGAGGGAGGGAAGATCTTCTGCATCCTGTACGCCATATTTGGCATCCCGTTGTTTGGGTTCCTCCTGGCTGGCATCGGAGACCAGCTGGGAACCATATTTGTCAAGAGCGTCTTGAGGGTGGAGAAGATATACAGGGTAAGTTGGATTACTTGAGCATTTTGGGTTGTGTTATGTACAGGGGATTTACTGGAACTGCATAAGCACATGATGCTTTCAGAGATATTTCAAGTTAACTAAAACCAACTTTTGATCAGTTTATTAGAATTAACTTAGACACCATGTTTGATGACTTATTTTGTGAAGAAAGGGGTCTTTGAAAATGAGTATTTGGGGCATGTTATACACAGATGTAGGATCTTAATTTGAGCCTGTTTTCTACAGCAGGAAAATAATCCTGCAGCAACAGTAAATTTGAAATATTATAATTAATGGACATTTTTGTAGGGGTTGATAAATATTTCGTAAACCAATATGCTACCCACCGTGAAAACCAGGCAAATTACCTCCAACCTATAATCACCCTATTCACTGTGAACAGCACAATGCCTTTGATACAGTCATCCCTGTAAAAGCTTTTCCAGATATCCAGGTATTAGGCCAGGCTCAGTGGTTTTGGACTCTTGTTCCCCCTCCAAGGAGTCAACACGAGTCAGGCTAGCTGAGGCTGAGATTACGATGTGCTCTTTGTAGTGAGGGCAGAGGTGTTTGATGGAGTGTGGAGGCAGGGGAGGTAGAGGGCCAGGACCTGATTGAGATTATGTGAGCAGGCTGTATGTCAGGCAGGAGATGAGCACAGAGCTGAGCCCCTCTTCAGACTACTGAAAGCCCCAGGGGGCTTGAGTTTCTGTGACATAAAGTGAGTTTGGGAATTAGGATTTTCCTGCTGGATCAATGGAAGGAAGGGTGGTTTTGGATGGTTTTCTTTCTTGGTGCCTGGGGTGCTCTGGAGTGTTTTGGCTAATGGGTATTGACACGAGGTAATTGATGAAACTGCATCTCTTCAAGCTTACTGTGTCTTTGAGCTGGAAATGTACTGTGTATAGCTAATTTATTTTATATACTTTTTTGACAACTTTGTGATTGTTGACTTGCAGTCGTCCTCTGACCATGTCATGTTTGTACTTCAGCAAAAACACAAACAGATCAGCCAGACCAAAATCAGAGTCACCTCCACCATACTCTTCATCATAGCCGGGTGCATAGTCTTCATCGGCATCCCGGCGGTCATTTTCAAACACATCGAGGGATGGACGACTCTGGATGCTATCTACTTTGTCGTCATCACGCTATCAACGATTGGCATCGGGGACTATGTGGCAGGTATGATAGTGTTACAGTAGAACAGGTTTATGTACTGTGTCTTTAGTTCTCTGAAATTAAGGTTTTATTTGCTTTTGTTTTGCTGTGTCTGCATTACATTGATAATCCCTTGACTAATGATGCTAAAAGTGACTGCCGATAATTATATGTCAGGAAATCTTATCTATGGGAATATTATGGCAAGAATAACCCAAAAGAATGCTGATACAACATCAAGTCTCTTCAAACCCAATTCCAAATGACTGTTCAATGTTTGTCAAACTGAACCTTTCCAACTCCCTTATCCTCCTAATCTGTCTGTAATGAAAACATTTTTTTTGTGATAAATGTTTTATTGTTGACAATAATTTGGTGGTAACAGGCATATACATACATACATAATCCAATAGTTGGCATCCAATGTAACAACTCTTCCTCTGTTGTTCCAGGTGGGGATCGGAAGATCGAGTACATGAAGTGGTACAAGCCTCTGGTCTGGTTCTGGATCCTGGTAGGCCTGGCCTACTTCGCTGCTGTCCTGAGCATGATCGGAGACTGGCTCAGAGTGCTGTCCAAAAAGACCAAAGAGGAGGTTGGTGCTGCTCATTCAATTACAGTGCCCGTCATTACATTATCTAAAGCAGTGGAAACTAAAAGGTCACTCCTTACTAGGCTCGGCTCTTACCCTACCCACCTTTATTCCATGTCTGTTTTGCTATTATGCCTTGTTGATGCCCCTGTCTGGAGCCCCTGAGACACTGAGACAGACAGTTGTGTGGGAGAAGTGGTTAGATATGCAGTCATTAGTGTTCAGGCTGATGTGTTAATAGTGAGCTTACTAAGCTATTGATCTGTACATACAGTATGGATGGATACTGTGGTAATGCACCCCCTCCACCCTCCTGCCTCTAATGACTCCATCTTTGTGTAATTGCAGGTGGGGGAGTTCAAGGTCCATGCGGCTGAGTGGAAGGCAAACGTGCGGGCTGAGTTCCGGGAGACGCGGCGGCGGCTGAGTGTGGAGATCCACGACAAGTTGCAGCGGGCCGCCACCATCCGCAGCATGGAGCGCAGGCAGCTGGGCCTGGAGCAGAGGGCCCACTCCCTGGACATGCTCTCCCCAGAGAAGAGGGCCGTGTTTGCCAGCTTGGACCAGGGCCGCTTCAAAACCTCCTCCCAGGAGAGCATCGACACCAAGCTGAATAACTTGAGGTTGAAAGGGGCAGGGGAGCTTTGTTATGACCAGCGGAGAGGCAGCGAGCAGACACAGCAGGCCTCGTCATCGGAGGATAACCTCTTCAACCTCCGCTTCCGCTCCCTCACCAAGCTGGCCAAGAGACACAAGAACCGCGACCTGAAGAGGAACATTCCTGAGGATGTGCGGAGGGCCTGTGAGGAGATGGAGAGGAGGAGGGAGGAGGAGGGAGAGGAGAAGGAGGGAGAGGTGGAGGAGATGGAGGTGGAGGAGGAGGAAGGGGGCGAGAGGAAGGAGGGCAACACCAGCTTGACAAATTTAGAGTACGCAGACGAGCGCTGAGGCCAAATAAATAGTGAGAGAGAAGGGGCCTTTTTTGATGTCTCAAAATGTGCCTTGTTGTTTTTTCTTTTCAGAGCACCCTACCTGCTATCCAACCCCACCCCACCCCACCCCCAACCATATCCGACAAATAAAAGCAGACACAATGTGGGATAGCTTCTCTTTTTTACCCGAGGCTTATGTGAGCAAGTAACCCAGTGAACTAGTGCAGGGTTTCCCAAACTCGGTCCTGGGGCCCCCCCTGGGTCATGTTTTGGTTTTTGCCCTAGCACTACACAGCTGATTGAAATAGTCAAAGCTTGAGGCTGAGTTGGTTATTTGAATCTGTGTAGTCCTTGGGTAAAAAACAAAACGTGCACGGGGGGGGGGGGGATGTGCCCAGGACCGAGTTTGGGAAACCCTGACCTAGTGTTTTACCGTCCTAGTCAAATCTTCACCCATGATATTGAACCTTACTTATTGATATTCATTTCACACGAGCTATACTTTTAGCCCAGGCTGATGAATGGACTGCAACGAATATGACTTGAGGGGGAATTGGATCAATATGCAATATACTGAAATAAACCGTGTACAATTAATCCTACATTGGTTATGCCCTAGGATAATCTACTAATATTTTATAACAAACAACCCCTACACTACACTCTGATTGTATATGGTTTTGACACTAAATTGGTGTTCCAAAGCAGTCAAAATTAGGTATAAAAACTTAAATGCTCAGGGCAAGCTGTCCTGTTTGTTGTAATTTTAACAAAATAAAATGTACTGAATTTACTTTCTGTACTGCTGGTGGAACTAGAAAAAAATAAGGGGTTTTAGGGCTGGGGTCAATCTGATCTCAAAAGGAACGATTCATTTTAAACTACTTTCATTCTGTACATCATAGGAACGATTTATTAGTGTGACATTTTGTTACTTTATTCTGTCAATTAAGATTTTTTATGAATGATTTTGTATTTCACACAGCATGTCTGTAATATCAATTTCTGCAATTAATGTATTTATTTTTCACAGTAAAGGGAATACAATTATATTTGTCCACTATATGCCACATATACAGTTGAAGTCGGAAGTTTACATACACTTAGGTTGGAGTCATTAAAACTCGTTTTTCAACCACTCCACTAATTTCTTGTTAACAAACTATAGTTTTGGCAAGTCGGTTAGGACATCTACTTTCTGCATGACACAAGTAATTTTTCCAACAATTGTTCACAGACAGATTATTTCACTTATAATTCACTGTATCACAATTCCAGTGAGTCAGAAGTTTACATATACTATGTTGACTGTGCCTTTAAACAGCTTGGAAAATTCCAGAAAATGATGTCATGGCTTTAGAAGCTTCTGATAGGCTAATTGACATCATTTGAGTCAATTGGAGGTGTACCTGTGGATGTATTTCAAGGCCTACCTTCAAACTCAGTGCCTCTTTGCTTGACATCACAGAAAAATCAAAAGAAATCAGCCAAGACCTCAGAAGAATAATTGTAGACCTCCACAAGTCTGGTTCATCCTTGGGAGCAATTTTCAAATGCCTGAAGGTACCACGTTCATCTGTACAAACTGTAGAGATGTAGAGATCTGTAGAGATGAACGTACTTTGGTGCGAAAAGTGCAAATCAATCCTAGAACAGCAAAGGACCTTGTGAAGATGCTGGAGGAAACATGTACAAAAGTATCTATATCCACAGAAAAAAAGAGTCCTATATATCGACATAAACTGAAAGGCCGCTCAGCAAGGAAGCAGCCTCTGCTCCAAAACCGCCATAAAAAAGCCAGACTACGGTTTGCAACTGCACATGGGGACAAAGATCGTACTTTTTGGAGAAATGTCCTCTGGTCTGATTAAACAAAAATAGAACTGTTTGGCCATAATGACCATCTTTATGTTTGGAGGAAAAACGGGGCAGCTTGCAAGCCGAAGAACACCATCCCAACCGTGAAGCACGGGGGTGGCAGCATCATGCTGTGGGATGCTTTGCTGCAGGAGGGACTGGTGCACTTCACAAAATAGATGGCATCATGAGGAAGGAGAATTATGTGGATATATTGAAGCAACATCTCAAGACATCAGTCAGGAAGTTAAAGCTTGGTCGCAAATGAGTCTTCCAAATGGACAATGACCCCAAGCATACTTCCAAAGTTGTGGCAAAATGGCTTAAGGACAACAAAGTCAAGTTATTGGAGTGGCCATCACAAAGCCCTGACCTCAATCCTATATAAAATGTGTGGGCAAAACTGAAAAAGCGTGTGTGAGCAAGGAGGCCTACAAACCTGACTCAGTTACACCAGCTGTATCAGGAGGAATGGGCCAAAATTCACCCAACTTATTGTGGGAAGCTTGTGGAAGGCTACCCAAAACGTTTGACCCAAGTTAAACAATTTAAAGGCAATGCTACCAAATACTAATCGAGTGTATGTAAACTTCTGACCCATTGGGAATGTGATGAAAGAAATAAAAGCTGAAATAAATCATTCTCTCTACTATTATTCTGACATTTCACATTCTTAAAAGAAAGTGGTGATCCTAACTGACCTAACACAGGGATTTTTTACTAGGATTAAATGTCAGGAATTGTGAAAAACTGAGTTTAAATGTATTTAGCTAAAGTGTATGTAAACTTCTGACTTCAACTGTACGTGTTGGTGTTTTTCCCCTCACACAATCAGATCAAGTATTGCATTTACCTATACTGAGGCAGGAACTTTACCCTATGGGTTGCAGTCACTTTACAGATGACTAATGTTTTTGGTCCTTTGCTATGTCTTTGTCCTTGATGTGCTTCCTAAAGCTTTACCTACGGGGCAAAAACTGGTTGAATCAATGTTTTTTCCAAGTAATTTCAACCAAATAAATCAATGTGATGACGTTGATTCAACATGGATATTTTTTTTTGATTCTCTAAATTCATCAACGTAAGGGATATATTTTTTTTTCTCACCAAACTTTTAACCTAAATCCAACAACATGGTGTCATTTTTTGTTGATTTCAAAACTAAACGTTGAATTGACGTCTGTGCCAGTGGGTACTCAGTAATCAGAAACACTAATTATGTGAATGGTGGTTATACAACTTCTAGTCTGTCAAATACAATTACATAATGGTTTTTGGTATGAGTGAGGTAGCCTCCCCATTATTTCATAATGGAACACATGATTATTGGATTTTTGGTAGTCTAGTTATGTTCCTCTACGGTGGAACATTGGATTCTGTCTTTGGTCCCCCTGGTCTTCTGCATAGTCAAAGAAGGAACTGTTGCTGTCGGGACTTAGGCTCACTCATCATATCAAAACAACAACAAAAAATATTGGATTGATTGAAAAGCATGTAGTCCTGATAATGAATAATATACGTACTGGTTGTAACCTCTAATTATTGTATTCTATCATAAAAATGGCTTACCATGACAATTACCTTTCTAAGAACCAGAGTGGGTTTTCATTGCTCAGACTTTTTTGCTGTTCACAATTTATTTGTGCAAAAATTATATCAAATGAAGTGAGTGCCTTTCTGGGAATAAATATCACTAAGGAAAATTAAGCTACTGTTGTGAAATTGCTTCTTATCACTCGTGTCATCTGGGACTTTATTCCCATATGTCTCTTAAAGTCCCCAACCACCATTATTTCCAAACTTGTAATTAACAGACTTAAAAGAGACCATAATTCGATTTCTGCGGAAGGAAATGATCAGATTGGACTTTTTATATATAAATGTAACCAGAGAGCAAAGCTAGCTTAGTAAATCTGTTTTAGAAGTCAAATCTGATCATATATATTGTATTTGAAAATAAACAAAAAACATACATAGACAAAAACAAATAGACAACTTAACATTTACATACACATACAGTACAAGTCAAAAGTTTGGACACATCTACTTATTAAAGGGTTTTTCTTTATTTTTACTATTTTCTATATTGTAGAACAATGAAATAACACATGGAATCATGTAGTAACCAAAAAAGATTTTAGATTCTTCAAAGTAGCCACCCTTTGCCTTGATGACAGCTTTGCACACTCTTGGCATTCTCTCAACCAGCTTCACCTGGACTGCTTTTCCTTAACTCTGCAGTCCAACTCATCCCAAACCATCTCAGTTGGGTTGAGGTCGGGTGGTTGTGGAAGCCAGGTCATCTGATGCAGCACTCCATCACTTTCCTTCTTGGTCAAATAGCCCTTACACAGCCTGGAGGTGTGTTTTGTGTCATTGTCCTGTTGAAAAACAAATGATAGTCCTACTAAGCGCAAACCAGATGGGATGGCATATCGCTGCAGAATGCTGTGGTAGCCATGCTGGTTAAGTGTGCCTTGAATTCTAAATAAATCATTGACAGTGTCACCAGCAAAACACCCCGACATCATCACACTTCCTCCTCCATTCTTCATGGTGGGAACCACACATGCGGAGATCATCCGTTCACCTACTCTGTGTCTCACAAAGACACGGCGGTTGGAACCAATAAATCTCAAATTTGGATCCATCAGACCAAAGGACAGATTTCCACCGGTCTAATATCAATTGCGTGTGTCTTGGCCCAAGCAAGTCTCTTATTGGTGTCCTTTAGTAGTGGTTTCTTTGCAGCAATTCGACCATGAAGGCCTGATTCACGCAGTCTCCTCTGAACAGTCGATGTTGAGATGTGTCTGTTACCTGAACTCCGTGAAGCATTTATTTGGCCTGCAATCTGAGGTGCAGTTAACTCTAATGAACTTATCCTATGCAGCAGAGGTACCTCTGGGTCTTCCTTTACTGTGGCGGTCCTCATGAGAGCCAGCTTCATCATAGCGCTTGATGGTTTTTTGCGACTGCACTTGAAGAAACGTTCAAAGTTCTTGACATTTTCCGGATTGACTGACCTTCATGTCTTAAAGTAACGATGGACTGTCATTTCTCTTTGCTTATTTGAGCTCTTCTTGCCATAATATGGACTTGGTCTTTTACCAAATAGGGCTATCTTCTGTATACCCCCCTACCTTGTCACAACACAAC